AATTTGAAAGACATCACCCCTCTCCATTCCCACGCCACCCCTTCAAAGCAAAGGAAGTCTCTTGACCTTCGTCGAAACTTGCTCCGCCACACTTGACCTCCACGATGCCCGTTGAAAAACAATGGATTATCTTTATGTCTCACAAACGCCCCCTCGCTAATCCTTTGCGGTCTAGCTGTAATTCTTCACCCAGAGCGTTCGCTTCAGCCTTGATTGTCCCCTCCCCCCCCCCCGATCACCCCATCGGCTGTAGAAGATAAACGAGTCAACCTAATGGAATGAACAGATTATGTAGGTCATCAAAGACGGAACATGGCGCCGACCACGCGAGATATCCACACCTTCAAAATATTCTAGAAGTGAGAATATTCATTAGTGCGACCTCATATTAGAATAGGCGCCAGTATGTTGGGACCATACAGAATTTTGCCAAACAAAGAAATCTAGGAAAAAAGTCCAGCGTAGAGCATCAAAATTTTACACTTCATGTAGTACCAAGAATAAAAGGGTATAGGGATGTCACTCGAAGAGGAGGAGATTAAAAGTCACGTCTCTATGCAATGTATAAAGCGTACACAGCCTTCGAGCGTGGAAAGAAATTCAAAGTCGATTAGGGGAAACCTATATATTTCTGCAGAGCGGATCACATGCACAAAAGTCAGACAAGAATGCAGAAAACGGACGTTGGGAAATATTAATTCGCGAATTGCACTATTAGGGACTGCGAACAGTTTGCCTGTGACAATCTTCGATCCCTTTCCTCAAAGCACTGAGCAAATTTAAAAATAAATTAGTTTCTTGAATGGGGATATTGTATAAAATATATTTTAATAAAATTCAGTGCATATTACCTATGTCTTCTTTGTAATTAAGTATATTATTATTATTATTATTATTATTATTATTATTATTATTTATTATTATTATTATTATTATTATTGTTATTTTGTATTATTATTATTAATGTTATTATCTATTATATTAGCATTTTATTATTAGTTATTGATTATTATTATTTTTACTATTATTATGTGCAGCGCTAGTGTGCGTGAAGTAGCAGTAAGTTGTGCAACTGAGAAAAGCAGTAAGAAAGACATTACAGCTCGCTTTAATCCAGTGCGCGTTGAATGAAGTGTGGTGAAGTGAAGTTTGGTGAAGTGGAGTTCTATGAAAGATTGCACGGTGAAATGTTCATGAGATTTGTAACGTTTGTAGTTTGTATTGTTGTTAAGTTTTGTAATGTTAAGTTAGTGTATTCTGCCACCAAGTTCTCACACTTAATTGCAGAAATATTAATAAATCTATCTAAGTATCTACGGAACCAATAGCGGCACAGGGCGACACACACGTGAGCGACGGGCACTCACATAGGGCAGAGATGAGAAATGGGGATGCTGTTTGAAATCCAAGGAGAAACGTCTGAAATCCATCTAGAGAGGTATATTTTCATCGAGCAGAAGGGGCATTTCTCTGAAAAAACTTCACATCTGTGACTATTTGAAGCAAGAAGCAGCAAGAAGGGTACAAAATTTTCGTTCCATCGGATGCCATTCTCTCTGGAGCCGGTGCATTATTTAGAACTATTATCAAGCGAAATAACCACGTCAACGAAACGTTTATTCCGTTCTGCGAATGAAAGCCAGAAAGTCTGAAAGGCACTTGTCAAGGTGAGCAATCTGCGGGGACTTGCATTCTGATGCGAGTACAGTTATGTATGATGGCTCTCTGTGGCGGCGATGGTGTAACGGTTATCCTATCGGACTGTTATACCCAAGTTGGCGGGTTCAAAACCGATCGAAAAAATCCTTCGCATGCCTTCCTTCAGAGGGGAAGTAAAGACGACTGTCCCATGTTGGTAGATTTACTTGCATGTAAAAGATCTTCAAACCTAAATGACGCTTCTGAGTTGAGTTCAAATTGCCTGTTTCGTCACCCAAGAAATACCTCTTTCTCCGCTAGTTGGTGAAAGGAGCGTAGCGAAATTTGCGTGGTCAGACGGAAGAGCGGGCCTGATGGCCCGAGTATCGCCACGTAAAATAAGGCATTAATTCAAATCAATTCAATACCCAGCGAGAAAAACTCACTCCATCATCGGTACGAGAGCGAGGGCTTTCAATCCGATCATCGGCGCGAATTGCGGACCCAGGACTGATCCAGACGTGACCCCTCACCAGCACTCGAACTTGCAACGCCGCCCCTTCCCTAGCATCATCACCTGGCGTATGCGATTTGAGCCCGAAACCAGGACGGCGACGAGCAATTCTCTACAGCGAGGTAACCCAAAACGTGGGCCCCTGTCCGGAATTAAGAGACAGTAACGCTGGTGGACTCAAAAGGGAACGGCGTAGTTACTAAGTCATTAAATGTCCATGTAATAAAATTGTGCATTTTGAATAAATGTGTGCCCGCCATTTTGACGGACAACACTTAAACAATCAATTGGAAGTGTGTTTTTAAATTAATAACTTGAGACCATGCGCAGCAACCTCACCCAGAGAGACTCACCCCTGGAGATCTCTAGAGCTGGCGCAGGAGTCAGGTTGGTACTGCGCTTGGCGCCTACGTCTAAAAAAATTGAGCATCAGCGACCTGACGTCCTCCACCATGCGAACACCCACGTGTTTCGACACATTGTGGGATCGTGCTAGATTTGGTACGCACAAGTCACAGGCTTATTCCGACGGACGGGTTCGTCACAAATTCATAAAAATATTAAGAAATTATTGATTGCGGGATTCAACACGTTCCTTGTAAAGAGATTATGCACCCATAATGCAGATGAGAGTAATTTATAAATTATGAATTTTATGAGTTTTTGGTATCTTTTCCGTTGTTTTATGCTGCTTTTTCTCACACTTATCTGCCGTTTTCCAGTAGTACTTCGGTAAAAACTATTGTTTATTTCCATTATTTGCGTTAATACATTTTCAGTTAAATATATATTTCTTTCTTTACTTCTCGAATGTATGAAATTTGTTGCCCTTTTTTGTTGCATTGTTTTGATTAGCATACCTTACGTAAATTTACGTGGTTTGATTCATAATTTATTTCCCATTGCTTCTCAAATATTTCGCTCTTGTTTAGTGTTCATTTTTCATTCTCTTTCGTTTCATTTGAAGACTAAATGGTTATTTGAATCATTAGTGAACACGTTAACACACTTCGGTCTGTCATTTTTATTTGTTCTATTTGAAACAGTTCCCTCTGGGAAGGAATTTAATATTGTATACCGTTTTAAATCACTCCAAATGATCATTTTTCATCAAGTTCTGAAACAATACACATTTTCAATTTCAGACTGCGCAAACGTTATCTTGCTTCAGTGAACATCAAACAAAGTTAGTACAGATTCAATGTGCACTGGTGATTTCACACTTCAACAAATCTTCAACAACATTGTACGCGTGAATTCCCAGAAATGAAAGTCGAGCGAAGCAGAAATTCTTTGCCACGAGTTTTCAGAGTCAGGAAAATCTAATTATCCCAGGTGAGACAACATGACTTCTTGACATTTTTGACGCACAAAAATTAATTCAACGTTTCTGCTACTTCATGTGTTTCTTGACAGCCAATAGTAAACTCTGTTCTTTCAGGGAATGCAAAGCGTTATATACAAATTCAATTTTTAGCACTAGTGATAAAAGTAAGACGATCCTCAAATGTTTGGGTAAAAATGAGATTACATCAAAGGAAACAAAATAATTTCTTCAATCGCATCAGCTACTATTGATCTTAATTAAACCCAATGATTTGTTGCTTGAATTCAAATAAAATAATTGTTAATAAGTGTGTCTGAAAAGTAGTGTATTAACGCCATAAATGTGACATTATTTAGCTCGTAGGATTACACGATTTAGCCTGGTATCGCAACACTCCCTACTCCCAAAATAAAATGTAACTCGTATCATAAATAACTATTTTACTCGCGAAATGATATTCTAGTCATAAAATTTTCTCCCGAAATAGGAAATGAAACGCATTTATTCTTAAGAATAGCAAATGTCTAAGGGCTGAAATAAATAGTCATGCATTTGCCTTTGGGGTCATTCGTATACTTCACTATCTGTATATGATCACGTTTTCGACAGGTATTCGAAAACAAAAGTGTACGTAAAAAAATAGTTATAGACGATTCACGGGCAGCGTGAATATATACTACTTTATTTCGAAACCTAATTATCCGTCCTAAAATGCCACAATGAAGACAAGGCAAAAATTCAAGGTAAAACATTGTTGTAGATTGCCAGATAATGTGTTGGTTCTCTACACATTTTCTGTTGAGTGTAACTTGTCGAATATTACGAGACGAAATAAACCTCGTGCAATACCAATGAATAAAAACACAGCATGTACGAAATACAATACAGAAGTTTTTTTTCTTTCTTATAAGATTTCTTTTATAATACAGTTTCATTTCCAAATAGCTCATTAACAAACACTTTGTTAATGTGGAGGAGTTACATGATGTTGTCTAAGAACAATCTAAAATTCTAAAAACACGACCACCTGTGACAAAATTGACTCCTGTTCGTGGAAAGATTTCTTTAGTATACAAAATAAAGAGCACCTAACAAAATAAATTCAGAGAAGCTGCCTGGTGTTACCGTATCATGCACACTCCAAACACTCAACTTCCGTACCCTAACCTCAAACTCACTCAACTACCTACTTCCGCGCTACTAAAACTACCGAATTGTAATGGCAGATGTCGCTCCTGTAGCACCAAATTATGCGAATTGCGGTTCAGATTGATCGGTTTTTAATTTTTTATTATTTTTACAGATGTCACATACAAAAAATATTTTTAATAGCATATTCTGAACACATAAATAACAATACTCCAAAATTTCCAGGTTTCTGTCTTTCTCTCATTGCTCAAACTTAGCGATATCATTTTGGAAATGCAGGAAATCATGTCGTAGGTAAGAGCGATAAGAACGAGACACATTATGTGATGAACACAAAGGTCTAAGGCACAGTTGATTTTTTTCTTGTCGTAGGTAAACGACTACAACAAGAGCGACCACAACGTGACGTACTACGTGGTGGACCTGAGCAAGCAGGGCGAGACGATGGTGGACATCAACTTCTGGACGTACAGCGTGCTCATCAAGCTGCTGCCCTGCGCCGCGCTCACCGCGCTCTCGCTGCGCCTCGTGTGCGCGCTGCTCGAGGCCAAGCGGCGCAGGGAGACGCTGCAGGGCGCCGCCAAGTGAGACGCTGCCTCTTCTCGCTCTCGCCTTCATCATCTTCTTCTTCTCACTCGCACCTTTCCCATATTTCGCTCGCACTCCCTTTTAATCCCACCCTCCCTTTTATACCGCCCTCCATTTTATACCGCCCTCCCTTTTATACCTCCCTCCCTTTTATACCTCCCTCCCTTTTTATACCGCTCTCCCTTTTATACCGCCCTCCCTTTTTATACCGCCCTCCCTTTTAATACCACTCTCCATTGTTATACCGCTCTCCATTTTTATACCGCCCTCCCTCTCAATCTCGCTCTCCCTTTTCATCTCGCTCTCCCTTTTCATCTCGCTCTCCCTTTTCATCTCGCTCTCCCTTTTAATTTCTCTCTCCTTTTTAATCACGCCCCACATTCCATTACGCTCTCGTTTTTTTACCTCAATCTCGCTTTACGTCTCGCACTGTCTTACCCTTCGCTCTTTTGCAATTACATTTTCTGTGTCTCTTTCACCCACCCACACTCCCACCCACATTCCCACGTTTGTTCTCACTTTTGTTAACACTGCCCTCTCCCGCTCTCACTCTCTTTTTCCACTTCTTGATTTTTATCTCTTGTTAATTTTTCTCGTGTTCTCATGTCTCTTTTCTCCTTCCACGCAGAGCTGAAGTCCGATGCAACTATAAGCATCCTCGAAACCTCGGTAAAATAACTCGCCTTCTGCAATGAATCCTAGGACATTAAAATCTATGAAGTTTCATTTCATTACATACGTTTTCTTTGAACTGTGTACCGTTTTAATAATCGACCTAACACAACCAAAGGAACGAAAGGGCACTCTTATCGGCAGGCGTCCGTTAAGCATGTACAGTTCTCCGCTCGCTTAGAATAATCGAAACAAACATGTGGTAGCTAAACACAGCAGATGAGTTCAATTATACCAAGAAAGGGTATTTTTGTATGATTTATTTCTTCTTAGAAGATGGTAATACGAAATGTATTAAGTGACACATGGCCTTATTCAAATAAAAGACGGTTGGTATTTTTTTATTGGCTTATATACTTTTTATTATAACGCACTCTACAGTTATGTTCTGAAACGGTGGTACACGATTCCCGAAAAGTGTGCGGAAAGCTGTTAGGGTACATGAAAAGTCTTTGTTTCAATATAAATTAAAATACTTTTGGTTTGCGTGTTTTTGTTTAAATTTTAATGAATCATGGAATTTTATTACTATGTTAGGAAGAAAATCCTAGGAAGCATTCCTTTACGTTAAAACCACTTGTTCATAGAGCAAATGTAGCAGTAAACTAATCACACAGTTGATTCTTCATTCATTTTGCAGGCAAACATTCTGTATTAACCTTCAAAGGGTCTCACATACTAGGTTCTTAAAAAAATACCATGAATATGACTAAACACATTATTTTTAAAGCATTAGTAGGTAGCATATGTACTTACCCAGCAGAAACGTGAGAATTAGAAAGATATAGCCTGGTTGATGACTTTTGGAGAAGATGCTGCCGTGTGTCAAATTTAGATCATATACGAATTGAAGACAAAGGATGGATGTAGAAAGATCCATCTTAAACTCGGTTGAACGGTCGAAGCCAAGCGGTTGAGTTATGGGCATCTCCAACAGATCGATCACATCAGGTGGCCAACGAAAGTGGGGCTGTGAACACCTACAACAAGAAAGAAGCGTGGCAGACCACTCTAAAGCTGCAAGAAAGATAGAAAGATGTAGAATATGATATGGAGCACAGGAGTCTACGAGAAGGAGACTGGGTAGACAGAAAATATTGGACACTGAGAAGTGAGAAACGGGATCAACCGTAACAACAAAGTATATATACACTTTGGAATTTGTTAATAGAGTGATAACACATGGAGAGCCTACGATCTTTCATTTAAAGACAAAAATACGAAATTTAATTCCGTAGAAAAATCAACCGTTTTTCTAAATGGAAGGTGTAGATAAACGTATATAAAGAGAGATAATATTCAAACAAATAACTCATTGTAAATATTATTTATCTTATGATACGCGATACGTGATATCCAAAGAATGTAGTTTGTTATAAACTTTTGTTTTGTGAACCGCCCTTTAAATTTCTATCTGGCATCTAATACCTTTCCCTAAGTCATAAATTCATAACAAGCCTTAGAAGGCTTTATAGATTACAGAAGTTGCATTATGTAGTATTACGGGGTTCTCAATTAAGTAACAGCAGTATTTCACGATTTTCGAAAGTTCCGCAGAGGATAATGTACGAAGCCGTTCGTAGGAAAGTGCTTGAAAATTATAACTACATAATAAGCAATGAACTGCGTAGTTCATGAACAATATAAATTGCAATGTACTTCATAGTTGTGTATAAAGTTCATTGCATAAACAATATCTACAGGAAACCTATTTACCTATCAAATACACATGGCAATGAATATGAATCGCTGGAGGTATGACGCACTCTCGCTGGCCCAGAAACGGAGTTGCTCCTGGCAGGGGCACTTCCTAAGCAACATTCAGTGCGCACGCTGCCGTCAATATTCTCTTTCTCGTGAGTTGGCAACGAGAATGCGCGAGACACGAGATGTTTGTACTCTCTGTTCAACACAGAGTATTCTCATATCTACTCTAAGCTAAGTAGGTGCCGTTTTAATTTCTCTTTTACTTTCTCGCCTAGCCTTATAGTTTGTAAGAAGAGAAAGTTATGTAATTGTGGGTCAGAAAACGGCAAATTTTTGATTGATTAGAGATTTCGAGAATGCCAACTGCTAAGGTTGTTGGTCCCATAAGTGTAGTGCATGTTTTTCACTACTCGTGTACTGCTCCTGGTATTGATCGGAGAAACCACGGAAAACTACCGATGAGAGCAGCCGACCGCTAGAATTCTCCTCCAGGCAGCGACTGAATTTGACCTAGCTATTTAGCTAGTGTCGAAAATCCTGCCCCCATCGGGACTCGAACTTAGGACCTTTCGGTCAGAGGCCCTGCAGTTGATACTCTGTGCCACTTCTTTCGGTACCCTCGTTTTTGAGAACATATGTTTAATTAACTATATTTCATGCAAAAACTATTTCTATTTTTGAAAAATTTTACCTATTCTCATTTAACCTGCCGCTGGACGATGAAGGAGCGTCACGTTTACCTTCGAATGAATCTTTTGCTATTACAAGTTGTAAACAAATTTCAAAAGGTTTATGAAAGTTCTTCTAGCTTACTATAAAAGTTTCAGGAGGACGATAGTGAAATAACGTATCTGCACAATCAATTGCCAGCGAGTCGTTTTTAATGTCACAGCGGGAAAAGAAGCTCACTCAACTTAAACCATCTGCGTTAGTCATTTATTTTGTATTTCAATTTCTATTTTAATCTTCCGATATTGATCTAAAAACGGAAATACTGCATCTGTTAGTCCTTACTGAAGTCTCAAAGATGTTTGCATCAGATTACCTTTCGTGTTTACTCCTCTCTTTTGAGTTTTTAAAAAAAAATTAAAATCCATTTTTACTTTTCTCTAGAAGTGTGATTGCTAACCCACTTGAAGATTGTAAGTAGTAGTAGAACTGTTTGGGTTTTTGGTACATATGATATATGGTTCTAAATTGAACACAATTCTGAAGCGAGAAAACTTGCTTTTTACTTTATGCTTACAATCCAATTTCGCACTAAATATTTCTCAATGACACAAATCACAGTAGTATTTGATGAAGATATTCTTCTAAGAGAGGATGAGAGTGAAAGAACGAATGGTGTGTCAAACATTTCCTGTTTACATATTATTCATCGCCCATTTCCCAATATCCTCTGAGGCGAAGAGACGGACGTGTCGGCCGTAGCGAATCACAAGCGAAGAAACCTGAAGTGGTTTCCCACCAGCGCTTTAACGAGGAACAGAGGGCTGTTCCATTCACAGTACATGTACTTTACACAAAACAAAGCTAAGTTAAAAGCGATAGTGCATAAAATTCAACGTAACATTCTTTAATCAGATTTTCATAGTTTCAAGTGCACAAAATACATTATTTTCACTTTCAAATTTTTTAAAATTATCGGTTGTCTATTCCAATAATTCTCTTCCACGATTCACAAAATAACAGTTTTGCACATTTTTTACTATGAAATTGTTTAAAAATAATCTTGTTCGTCGAGAATTCAGAGTTTTTCTCGCAATCTTATTGTCTCAATTCGGTGTTGTGTGTGTTTGGGCGCATTCCAACTTCTTTTATATTCCTACCATTTTATGTATAGTTTTAGAAAAGTTGTGCACTGAAGAGCTGGCTAAACTTTTAGATTGTCGGGATAATTCCAACAAAGTATGGTAGATCGATAATGTGTATCAAACTAAAAACTAAAAGGAAGAGTGAGAGTCTGTGGTGAAGTTACAATATCTAGTTCTCCTTTTCCCTTCAGCTTTTGTTTTATATTTCGTTTCCGCGTCCGTCACTTTAAGGAGAAACTTTGAAGCTGCATATCAAAATTTAATTAAACTGTCTCAATCTATATTCATTGAATCTGAGTTATTAGGAAAGTTGTATCTTCATAACGCAGATTTCACTAAAAACCTTCATAGTTGTTCTCTTTGCACATTCTATTTCATTACATGAGTCAGAGTAAATAGTTAAAGGTAGGTCCAGTATTGTAATAATGGACGGAAACAAAGTCCCATCGCCGGTGGATGTATTTCGCTGAACGATAGGGAGAGATGAGAGAGCAGGGAGAGGAGATGATTGAGAGAGGTAGAGAGAGAGAGAAGAGGACAGACAGACAGACAGACAGACAGACAGACAGGACAGACAGGCAGGCAGGCAGCAGGCAGGCAACACACAGAAAAAATACTGGTTTAAACGGTTTCTCAGGTTAAATGGATTAATGCTGCAAGAGAAACTTGAAGTAACATCCTTATGGAATATTTGATGGGCGATCAATTAAAAATGAATATGCAACAGAACCTAGGATCCCCTCTTGCTAGGGTTTTGGAACATTTAGTATCAGAAACCATCGACACAAAGTCACATGAATGTGCTGTTTTGAATAGGAAATTACTAAGTGCTTCATATCAAACACTATTACAAAAAAAAATTAAAGGTTCGAAGAGAATGATATTTCATAGGAACATAGACACGTATGTAATCCGAAGGATACGTTAGACTACACAAACGTTGCTATCGTAACTAGGGAACGATCCTTAATCCCTTTGGCCTTTAAAATATTGACGTGGCCCAGTTTTAGTATCAGACACGAGTAATGTGGACGTGCTAGTACGTTAGAAACTCCCTACTCCAAATCGCAGGCTGTTAAAAACAGGAGTTGAGTTCTACTTCGAAGCTATTTTTCATATAAAATAACGATTTAAAAAGGACTTAATATTCAAATGAGTTCAATTATCATTTCTTTCTTTCGGTAATTCTTCTTCAAGACATATTCATTGCCTGAGACACTGTCGGATGGTAGCTTCATCCCGAGTAGGTGAATATGCTGAAAATGTTTTCGCTCAATGGCGATTAGATGATGTAAGGATTGTGGATAAGGCCACCGGTTCTAAGGTCGGGGCTGAGGGCAGGATGAGGAAGAATCGCGCGTTTCATGTTTAATGATCGCGCGCGATGCTTAAAGAACTGCTTTGCCATTCGCCTTGAATAAACCTGAAGAAACAATCAATAAAACAATCCCTTACAGGATTGATTTTTATTGGTCTACTTTGACCCAGCGAGGGTGTCGACTATTCGCGGACCGTTGGAACAATAGGGGCTAAAAACTTACGGCGCCATCACCCATCATTGTTCATTAAGTACGTTTTTCCAGCCATTTCGAAAACCATGGTGTTGTATTGCATTAACCAGATAATAACAGACCTGCGTAAGAAAACACAAAGAAGAGTGTTTCTTTTTGAGATGGTTATTCACATCGACTCTAACCATCGAACTCACGCCCATAACATACTGCTAAAGCTAAACTGCAAAACATCAAATCTTTGTATAGTAATCAAATACCTATCTCTCACGATTCGAATATTTCCGTACCAAAGATCTAGAAAAATAAGGTTTCTTTCGACGGCTATCAGTTTTCTTAGGGGGAACTAATCATTGTTTTCCAGTTCCATCAACAATATTTGAGCAAAATTTTTAAAAATATTTTTTAAGATTTTCTCTTAAGCTACTAAAATCTGTTTTATACAGTTTACGGGAATATGGAGATGGAAATCCCTTGAGATGTAATCAATAGCTCATTTAATTTCACAATCAAGGCAAATGAATTGTCAGCGGTAGTGAAAAGCTTTTCATTAAATACTCTCTTTCTGGCCTTTTCGTGAAACTGTACGAGTTTATTTCTCAGTTTGATGATAATTTAATCTAATGTAATTAAATAAATAATTAAACAAATACTTTAATCCATACTATTTCTTGTAACTTTCTATGCCTAATATCGGATTAGCCAGTCGACGGCAATGGGTTTAAAATTTATTTTTGTTATGAACGTGAAAAGCACAAATTGAATCTTTGACACGAAGAATTACTCGCCGATATGTCACGTAAAATAATTCGCCGCACGGAAACATTAGTTAGCCTATGCTATTGCTATCCAAACATTCCCCTATTCTTTTTAACTCATACTCTTTACTTATTTCCTTATGAAATATACATTCTAAGAAAATATTTTGTTTCAACTACATAACCAGTTACAGTCGCATTCTATTTACATCACCGCCGCTTGAATTATGACCTTTCTCGTATTCCCTATTGAATACAGAAAGTGCGCAAATCATATTAATAGCCTTTCTCTTTCTGCGACTATTTGCTTTCCCCGCCACTCGAGCACAAAGCAAATTCGTGAATGGGAACGTCAGACGATCCTCTTCAAAGCATTTAAAATGGAACAAGCGATGTTTTCGTTGTCTTTCAGAGAGTCTCTAACTCTCACAAATGAAAGAGGAGTTTAAATAGCTTGGGGAACCGACTTCAATCTTCCACTGCGTACACTGAGATTTAAGTGGTACTGCGAGAGCTGTGTGGTCGAAACCAGACCGCGAGAAAGAAAAGAAGAGTTACGACAATTGATTGGGAAATTTTTAAAGAGTGGAAACGCATCAAAAAAAAGTCAAGCCGTTTTAAATGTGCCGCGTTTTAAAGATTGTATTTAGAACTGCATTTTCGTATTTTTCTTCAACACAAATCCTTCTTTCTTTCTGTTCAATATTTTGATTTTATATTTGTTGATTTGTTGTAATGAAACGGGTCCCTTTCGCTGTGTTATTGCTTATCCTCGGAATAATACTAATTTGCTCCATGTTTGGCGTGCCACTAAAACGGATCGCCTATCTTTCCACTCTCGAAATTATTGTCAAATAATGTTGATGTTTAATTATTGCCTCGCCTTACCAAAACGTTGAGCCGCCTTTAAAACGGTTCCTTATTTCCTGTATGTTTACTTATGATAATCACTACAAAAGTGCTGAACCGGTTTCTGTCCTTACCGAATGGTCCTGACAATCAATATTTCTAATACACCAGGTGAAATTATGGGCCGTTTAGAAACTAAATTTTGATTATGGATACGCAACGCTCCCCTCTGCAGGAAACGGGTGTGTATCATCTTGTAAGATTCGTTAAACGTAACGTGTCCCTCTTTATTCCCAAATTTAATAAAACAAAGATTTCAAAAACTCTTTGTCACTGCCAATGTTCACGCAATGTATTTATTAATGTCAAAAATATGTACTGGACATCGTTGCCACCATCTTAGCTAACACAAACAACGTGACATACCTAGTGGTGCTACAGAATGGCACAGACTTCTCCGCTTTTGTTTTCTATTTCCTTTGGTCTCAGCTATGTATTGGGACTTGTCAGTTGCCTTCTATCGGCACCTAAGTAAATATTTTTGAAATTTTCTTAATATTTCGGTATTGGTTTCGGTATAATCGTAAAGAACAGTATAACCTCATACTAAATGTCGATTTTCATTGAAAAACTTGGAGCCGTTTTTAAGAAAATAGCGCTTAAGCGCTACTCAATGTAGTAGTTTATTCTTTAGTAGTAAAGTAGAGTATTCGAAAAACTTCATTATAAGTCATTTGAAGCTCTTTAACACACAAATACTATAGTGTTTACAAATTGCTGGAAACGTGCGTATTAACGGCCTGCGAAATATTTAAACAAAAAATTACATTTGTACAATTTTTGTAAAAAGAAAAAACCTCCCATTACGTCATACGTATACCCTACCTTTACGTCATATTAAAAAGTGTAATTAGCACTATATTCTCGAAGAGTTTGAAGAAAAAATTTGGAACATTTTTTTAGAAAATGGCGTTTGAGTGTTTCTGAAAATGCAGAATTTTGAGCTAGTTTGCACAGAAAACGTTTTTTTCCAGAAATTATTTATGAAAACATTTAAAACACATGAACTCATAAATGTAATAAAGTGAATAAATAGGCTAGTGTACATTTTAACAACGTGAGAGAAGTCAAATAACATTTTCATAATTTGCGAATTAAAAACGAATAGATCAAACGGATGTTTATGTAATTTCATAGAGTACATTTAGCAATATCCATACCAAAAGTTCAAAGAAAAAATTAAGAGCCGTTTTTTAGAAAATCTTGCTTTAAAATTGCAATATTGCAGGCAGTATTGCGCGAAAACTACTGAAAGTTTCAAAAAATGTACTTGACCTTAATAAAAGGAATAATTATGGACAAAAATTTCAGTTGAAATAAAAATTTATATCTTTAATTTTGTAGTTGTAGGAAGACACCAAAACAGTTTTACTACATTCAAAATACTTTTGACATTTTTGAAAATTCAGAGATAACCGTGAAATCGGACTTACGAGACTTTTATAATTGCATGTTACACTAGTCTTAAAATATACTTATAGAAACATGTTGCAGCTGTTTTTGAGAAAGTTTTAAAAAATTCCTTAGGGATTCATGTAAAGTATCCAGAATCCATGTTTTGATGGTCCTTGAAACCGAAAAAGCGAATGACGGCAAAACGTCCTTCCGCTCCCAGGCTTCTTCGTCTTGCGGAAGTGAACTGAATAATTCAAAAACGATTATCAAAACTGGGTTTTTCATTTATCCCAACTTGCAGTGACCGTCGATTTGCATTCAAAATGCATCCCGAGACCTTGGCAACACTACCAAAACTCAAAATGTCTGTGTGGTACTTGGGACCCAATAGACTAGGTGTTTTGAATTACCCTTTGGCAAACACTAGCAAACATATTCTTTAGCTTACGCCTATGTCATCTTTTGCTAAACTGTTTCAACTTCAATTCGTCTCATCAGCTTGGGAAGTGTTGAGATGAGCAACATGGCAGACCGCATACCCAAGGACAGTAGTGGGGAGATTCAGGAAGCCTCAGCATCAAAACGTCCTTCCGTCCGTCCGTGTCTGTCTAGCTGTCTGTGAAGGACCCTAGTGGCTAAGCCGTTCAACCAATTTTCTCCAAATTTGATACTCTCCAATTAATTTGTCTGATGTCGCGGCACCTTGAATTTAAAATCGACATTTTAATTTAGGAGGGAGTATTTTACTTAAACCTCTGGGACATTTTCTAATTTTCAAAAAAAAATTTGGCTCAATCGTTTTTGATTAAATTGTGTTGTTGGATAGTGTAAAGAACTTTTAAAAGAATGGCCAGGTCTCATTACCGCTAAAAACTATAATTATTTCGAAAATTGCAAAAGTTTAAATTTTAGTTTTCCTAGAAATAGAGTTATGAAGATAGAAAATATTCCCTTAGTGAAATCTGTTTCATACCAATGGATTTTGAAATAAGGTCATGTGCAATTTATCTATAACTTGAGAAGGTACTTTTAGCGAAATTTCGCATGTGCTCTGCAGCTCCACTAGTCGAGTGGGCATTCGAGCAGCTGGCGAGCGCGCGCCGTCTGTTGAAGGTCGGGTCCCGGGGCGCGGCGCGGCGCAGACAAGAGCCGGCAGACGGACCGCACGACGCGCATGCTGCTGGCCGTGCTGCTGCTCTTCCTGGCCACGGAGCTGCCGCAGGGGCTGCTGGGCCTCATGTCCGGGCTGCGCGGCCGCGACTTCTTCGAGCAGTGCTACTCGCGCCTGGGCGAGCTCATGGACTTCCTGGCGCTGCTCAACTCGGGCATCAACTTCATCCTCTACTGCGCCATGAGTAGGCAGTTCCGAACGACGTTCCGGGCGATGTTTCGGCCGCGCTTCCTCGACCGCTGGATGCCCGTGCCGCAGCGCTCGCAGTCCGACCACAACGGCCACACCAACCACGTGACGCAGGTCACGCAGGTCTAGCGCCCACGCCAGCGCTGCCGGTAAGTCCACAGATTAACATCTCCGGGTTCGCCGACTACTACAGTCTTTGGTCTTACAGTCCGACCACATCGGCCACACCAACCATGTAACGCAGGTCTACCGCCCACGCCAGCGCAGCCTGTAAGTTGACAGATTAACATTTCCGGGTTCGCCGACTACTACAGTCTTTGGTCTTACAGTCCGACCACAACGGCCACACCAACCACATAACCCTAGTCACGCAGGGGTAGCGCCAGCGCTGCTGGGAAGGTGATAGATTAACATTTTGGGGCTCGCCGACTGCAATAGTCTTACAATCTGACCACAACGGCCACACCAACCACGTTACCAGGTCACGCAGGTCTAGCGCTCACGCCAGCGCTGCCGGTAAGGTGATAGATTACCATTTCCGGGTTCGCCGACTACTGGCTTTGGTCTTACAATCCGACCACAACGGCCACACCAACCACGTGACGCAGGTCTAGCGCCCATGCCAGCGCTGCCGGTAAGGTGATAGATTACCATTTCCGGGTTCGCCGACTACTACTGTCTTTGGTCTTACAGTCCGACCACAAAGGCCACACCAGCCACGTGAACAGGTCACGGAAGTCTCGTACCAACATCAGCGGTGCAGCTGAGTTGTCTGATACATTAGTCCCGTAAATGTAGTTCATTTCCCCCCTCGAGATGTAGCTTTGATCATCCACCGCTCTGTATTGAGATTGGACGCCGACCTTCCCGGCGGCTAACGGTGTTTTCCCCAGCCAGGAATCTCCCACCAGGGTCTTGGGGGTGGGGGGGAAAGTCATTTATTTGGGAAATTATATCCCCCTCAAGGTGGCACTGTGGCGTTACTGAGATATGTAAATGAAGACGAATGGTCAAAGTCGTCTTCGGCGTGTAAAGTGACCCAGAGATGTTCATGGACCGTTGTTATGATGGCATTTCGTAATTCTTGTGTCCATGTTTTTTGGAAACATTTTATGGAAAGACGATTGTTATTATAACATGATCATGTGAATGATGTAACAAAGTTGAAGTGAGGGGCAGATAAATGGGAGAACTCCGAAATCGCCTGTCGCCAACCCTTTGCCCACCAGAAACTCCAAATGCATTGCCAGATATTTGAACCCCCCTTCTCAGAGGCGAAAGGTTATCGTCCTGTTAACTACCTTGAGCCCTAATCAGATGTTGAATATTCTTCTGGTGCCCAAATTCGGTTTCATTTTGTGTTAAGTGTCGACAGAACTGTAGAGCGATTACTATAAGAAGGGACCACTTTGACAAGTACTGCTTGGCCACTGCTAGAAACATAGCTGCATGCTATGTCAATGCACTTGTTTCGGCAATGCGTTTCTTTACAGTTATCTCATTTGGGAATGGCTTCATCACTATCTCTTGCACTGCCATAGCCCTACTTGACGCTTTTTTGTTCAGAGAATTATATAACTGGTCCCTTTCTTGTGGTAATGCCTGCACGTTCCCGCGACGAAGTGCTGTAGCATCGTGCTCTTTGTTGCAGAGTCGTGCGCCGCCGGCGGTGAGGCGGAGCTGGAGGAGGGGGAGGCGGCGAGAGGGGCGGGCGGCGCCCGGCGCCTGCGCGGCGGAGGCCCCAGCGCGGCGGAGGCGCCCGCGGCGCCCGACGCTCGGCCGCAAGGTGCGCCCCGCCCGCGCCCCACGCTCCGAAGGTGGCCCGCCGCCCACGCAGCCCGCGCCGTCGGCAAAACCACCGCCGCTCCGCCCCCCGCCGCGCGCGCGCTCCGGCCCCACCATGCCCGCGCCACCCCGCGCCGCCGCCACCCCCGCGCCGCGCCACGCGCGCCCGCGCCCGCGCCGCGCCCGCGCCCGCCACCCGCGCCCACGCCCGCGCACCGCGCCAGCCCCGCGCCACGCCAACAGCCCAGCCCGACGGCCGCACGCCGCAGCGCGTCCAGCCAGCCTCGTACTCACACGGTCTGTGAGGCTCACAAACACCCACGTATACCATCTCGGACGCCTACAGAGCCATTCACCACTCAACGCCACCCACTCTGTCAGCTTATCACACATCTTAAACTGTAAAACTTATCCGTCATTATTTTAAATAAAAAAATGATCTCATTATTGCGTAAATAACTCTTTGCAACATGGTCCTCACACATATGCTTAGACATCTATCTGTACACGGCATGACAGTTCGCGAATGGGAAAGAGCCAACCAGCGACGTCCCTGCCTCGCTGTCATGGATTAAAGGAGCACGTGTGGTTAGCACGAAGTCTTCCCCACGCCGTATTTCGCTCTTCTCAACCGCACAAGTGAGCATTCTCATCGCCACACAGCAGCATATACTGGTAAATGCAAGGAAAACGCACACTATAATCTTGCCCAACCGGGAATCGAACCCGGGGTCGCGTCATGGAAAGCGAACACATTGGCCACTGAGTGAAACCGCTAGGATGCTTAGACATACATGCACCAAATACTCAAAAATATGTATAAACCTTTTGCATTAATACAAAATCCAACCAAATTCATCACAGAGCGTCTGAATGAAAATCTAGAATCTTGACACAATGCGTTTTTGTAAGTAAATCAACCTCATTTAAGACTTCCTCAGGATCACCCATTTTCACTTCTCCTCATTTTACTCAATTTCTCCAATGCCATTAATTTCTGTTTTATTGCTATCAATCATGTTTATCAAACCAATCACTTCGAGACTATCTAAAAGCCACATTCTCCTCTGTGAGTATTAACAGCTAATAAATACGAATAAATGATACATGAACGAGTGCTAGGCATTGTCACGGTTCGTAACTAAAAATTTAAAATTCTCTATAATTACTTCACGACTTATTCTCATTTAGTTCACCAGCGCATCTGCAAATACGAAAACACTGTTTCAATGTCGAATATTTAAAATAACTCCAACAAATGAGAAGAAATGTTTCCAAAATAATATGAATTATTTCATTGCGTTGCTGATCATATGTTGCTATACGCCCTCGCTTACACCCTCTTGGCTAGCTCGCGACTGATCAGTATGGAAGGGCATTATTCTCAACAGCTTTCACCAATTTCCTGTGACATTCCAGCACATTTCTTCCTTAGAGAACGGCTGTCTTGATGTAGGAGCTTTGCTCAAAGTGGTCTCGCACGGAGGTAGTCAGCCATCTGAAACCACGTTGTTCTCTGTGCCAACAGACACACTCAAAGAGCATGTGTTATTGTGAACACACACTAGTACTGTATTTCTTTCACGCGACAAATAGAATTATGTGATCTTATAATATTTCCTTCAGAAAAAAGTAGTTGCAATACCTTCTACCCCAACCCTCGTACAAATGAATGGATATAAAATTAAAAATGCATTTGTTAAGTATGAAATCATAAGATGAAATATACATTTCAAATTTAATCAAAGATAAAACTGAAGGAAAATAATTTATATATAATATAAACGTTAAACCTAAATGATAACGTAAATTAAGTATGTAAAGACGGAACAATTATTGCAAAAATGAAAATATGAAACAGGATGTTATGAAATGAGAAATGTTGACATTATTGTATTTGAAAGGGAGTCTGCCATACCCTTTCTTGTTAATTTATTTTGTTTAACTCATGGTGGAAAGAGACGGATGAGCATGGCACCTGAGTTCAGCCAAACTGTAACGCCACCAGTTTGCGTCACAGTTTTAGCGGGAATTTTGAATGCACAAAAATACCAAAATTATCACCTTGCAACACATCATTGAAACAGATATACGCAGCATTCAAAAAAATGATGAATGTTTTATAGCAACTGCCCGTTCATCATGTTATTTTCGGTTGGTCGCTGTTGAAAAGTGCCACTTTATGCAACTCTCAATATGTTTCTCAAAACTTCTCGCTTTCCATGCAAGATGGAAGTCAGCGTCTGGTTTGACTATTGAAATCAGGTGTGTCGTGGTCACGTGGTTCGAGGCGGAAAGTGGTGCTGCTCAGAACGAGCAAAAAATCGGTCCGCCGGAGTTACTCACTCATGTCTTTCCACCATGATGTCATCACTACCTTATCACTTACCTTATACGGAATCGACACTTTAAGCAAGTTGCAAGCGCAGTCGCCTGGGCCACAATTATCTAAAATTAAATTAGGAAAACTAAAACGTGTGTTGTTACTTTACAGAATATGATCGACAACATTCAAGAACAGACCAACAGGGGAGGCCGACTGGACCGGTGGAATCTTCAAGAACGAAGAACTTTGAATTGAATTTATTGCCCTTTTCCCCTGTTTCTTACTTTCATTTGCTGTTTACCTCTATTTTCGTGAAATGGATTTACTGTATTTTTCTGAGAATGGAGTGCAGAAAATAAATATATATGAATGGAAAATAAAAAAAATGAAGTTACTGATAAAAACCAGATAAATTAAAAAAACCTAAATGATAATATTTAGTCAGCAACGAGTAAAACCGGTTACTTTTATGGAATGCACGAAGTATTAAAAGTTATACTTTTAGCAATAGTAATGATAGTAATACACGTGAGAGGACACTCAAATGTTCAACTAAAACTGTGTATGAAACAAACAAAACTAAATTCTCTTTTGTGACCAGCTAACGTATGACACACGTGGAACAAGCTCATACGATTGCGTCACTCGGTTTCTCATCCACGAGACTACAAGTTAAAATTACTTTTATACAAAAAACAACACTTTTGTAGTATCCGGGGGCCCAAAAACGTGTATTTCCGTTGAAATCTCGAAATAAATTTTCCGCGGCATTACATAACTCTCTCTATACTAAGTATATTACTCCATGTATTCGTATGTATACGAAAAATAATAATACTAGCCGTTTTCTTGACGAACTAGCTGAAGTACGCTGCATTTCCCGCGTATTTTTCACAATTCTTTACTAAAGAGGAAAATAAATTACCTTTATTAATACTGTATCCCCGATTCTACCCTGCCTTTACCTGTCTTGCGTTACATCATCCTGCATGGCCATGTGTTCTATGATCATCGTTGGAAAAAATTAAGTGTGGCATACTCCCGACCAACTTCCTGTAATACGATACTCTGCACCTGAAACTCTAATCTAAACTCCTTGAAAACCAATATGCATTTTGAAATTTTTTATGTGTAATAGTAAAGTAAAAGAAAAGTTTTGACAGTGATTTTAAAATCAGTGCTTTTACTGTGTATGGTTGTTTACATGATATAAATACTACACCGTTTAAAACTGCAATTATGGATATTAACAAAAGTAGGTTTCAAGAATACTGAAATAACATGTTACATTAGAATATAAGGACACACCGTACAACACATCAAGAATATCAAAAAATATGCTGCTTCGTAACGCAACATGAAAATAGTAAATATATAATGGAGGGCGATACTTCTCATTGGAGTCTTGTTGTCACATGATGACCTCTGTCACAAGCAGAGTTGCAAAGAGTATAAAAGTTCAGTTGATTCTCTGAGTATGATAGGCATAATAATTTTTTTCTTCTGGGTAGCTGAGATTCTAATTTCTATTGTTGTGTAATGATTACAAAATGCTATGTGGTTTTTAATTCACCATAACATTTCTTCCCGCATATTGAAGGAAGAACTTTCTTCTGCGATTTTCTTGTGAATACATAGTAATAATTTGTTGTTATTTCTCATCATCCTAAGCAGCTTCGAAGCCAGGTTCTTGAATGCTCCAGTGCAGAATAAAGAAATTATGCTCTTATCTGCAATAAATGGGACATTAAGAGCTTTAAATGTAATAATTGGATATTATTGAAAAAATAGTATAGCCGGTGCAACAAAAAAAATATGGTTGAGATGAAATTTATTATATTCTTCACCGACATTCGTTCGTTGTACAATAGTATCGTTATCACTCTTAATTCGGGGGACCGATGTGGCGTACTAGTTACATCTGCCTTGCGACGCCCGAGATCAAACGACGAACAATGGATAAGAAAGAAAGGGAGCATATTAGTAATTTTTTATTATTATTATTTTATTATTATTTTATTATTATTATTATTATTATTATTATTATTATTATTATTATTATTATTATTATTATTATTTTGTGTGTTGCTCGTTTTAGAATAAAATTAATTCCCATTAATAAAGCAATTACATTCAGTAGTAATTTTTGTATGGTAAAGGAATGGCCATTCCAAAAGATGGCTGCCACCTAGCTGTACTCAGCATGTTTTGCAGTTTTCATATTTTTTGACTATGTTGTGAACATTTTTGAGTAATCAACGTTTCTTGGACAAGACTAACTGAGGATGGGAAAAGTGTTTCCCGAAAGTTAACTCTGCGTAATAATTAATAAAGATTATTAAACCTTTTGTGGACGATTATTTCCTTTACCATGTTATGGATTACCACAAGATATCTGCTACCACCACGGAATTTAATATATTTTGTATTAATTGGGATCACGATTGTATCTTTTAATCGCCATCTTATAGTCCCTTACCGACCTTTAATCGACTCATTGGACACCATTGGCCCCCTTCGAAATCACATCGACCGCAGGGGATCGATACGACCCCGCTAGGAACCCAGGATTTAAAGCGTCGTTTCACGGGCCGCCACGGAGCTTATCCCCCCCAACGCCGCTCCGTCCGCCGAGTCCAGTGTTACAAAAACGCTCATTTTAGTATAGAGCGTTTAGCGCTCATGCGCACAGGCCGAAGTTCCCGCGCTCCTAGACAGAAAGCAAGAATAGGTCAGTCTTTCGTTAGCAGTCGAACCAAGTGGAGCCCTGTGCTCTCACTCGCCATTTTTGCAAAACATAACTCGAGAGAATACTCCTCGTAATCGGTCATGTTGTCGTTATCAGCGATACTGTCGAACACGTCAATTTCAACAAACTTGCACACCTTTACAAGTGTTATTTGTGGTGAAGGCGACGACCATAATCATAATCTAGTCAACTGTTGTGGCGCCAAAGAAACAAGCTGCAGATTCTGCCTGGAAGGTGGCACAACGGTTCCGTATCTAAATTTAAGCCAATTAAACCATTGGTACCAAATTTAGTAAAGCTAGCTCTTGCACTCAATGTTATTAATGTATAAAATAGTTTAATTAGATTACGTAATAAAAATTTTTTCACAAACCTTTTAAAACACATGTTCATACATACATTCATTGTAATCATTAATTGTATTCCCGTTCATAACCATTCATTGAAATTAGGTGGCTCTGAAATGCAAAGGAGAATCAAAACTACCAGCGGGCTTCAGTGTTACAAAAACGCTCGCGGACAGAAGACAAGAAAAGGCTAGACTTCCGTCAGCAGTGGAATCACGTGGAGCCCTGTGCGCTCACTCGCCATTTTTGCAAAACGTAACTCCTGAGAATAGTCCTCGTAATCGGTCGCCAGATTTTGGCAGCGGGTCAGCGTAGCCTCCGCGGGCTGGCGCTCTGAGATGCAGCGCGAGCAAGGGGAGGGCGACGGCCTCGGCAGTGGGCCATCGCCTTTGCTTCAGGCAACACGAGAGCCCATTTACGCCCGTTAGTTTTCTTTCGATTTGGGAAGAAAGTTTTCTTATTGTAGATACCGTAAACAATGGCGTAGTGGTTAGTGTGTTCGTAAGAACTGCAGTGTCTTAAAAATTTCAAACTACAAGAAGCATTATACAGTTTTGCAATCCAGAGACACCCGCCAGATGAAAAATAATTTCTGAGAATTTATGGATTGCCTGCAATCAGGAGATGAGTAATACTCCCACGTGACCCCTCTTGATGGTCTATTTGTATCTAGTATTTGTTAACATTAATTATTGGTTCGAGGCGAAATAAAATTGTTATATTATATAGAACTGTATAAAATATTATTGTACTAAAATGTTAAAAATGTGTTCTCCAAAAATGTTCTGTATTAGTGGAATTATAGGTAACGGTTACGATAAACAGAGTCGGATATTGCTTTGAATTATATAATAATATATGTTCTACTTTTTTTTAAAATTTTTCATATTTAATTGAATCATTAACATTTAAATATTATGATTTGAAAACGTAATTATCAAGCGAACATTGTATCCCTCCACTTCCGTACAATCATTTGAACACTGTACGCCCGCCGCCGCGTCGGGCACTTCCTTTGCTCGGCGGCTCGGCTCGGAAAAGGAGACCAGATTTTTGTGACGTCACAGAGCACTGAGTTGGCGAGCACAGGTCTAGTCGGATCTTTCGGCCACGTTACGGACCATCTAGTGTTCTGTATCGTCGCCAGAGAGCAGCAGAATCACTAGCCCCGTCGCGACGCGCGAGTAACCAGATGACAGAGTGACCCTTCCAGCCGGAAGCGCGAACCCGCAGCGAACCCCCCTCCCCTCCTTCAAGTGGGGTGGGGGCGGCCATTTAAGAAGCCGGCCAGCGTCGTTTAGAAATTGTGTTGTTAACATGTCAGAAGAAGTTAAGTCACTCTGGTAAACCCGTGCGATTACATCCCACTCAGGAAGAGCTGCAGAAATGATACGACAGAAAATACCGCATATTCATCTCTTATATTTACCACAATCTTTACACATGTATAAATTGGGTGACAGGGATATTGTTGATATTTTTATATTATCCTACTACCAACCTAACCTTAATGATATGACAATATTTCAATGTCAACACTGCTTTTTTTATATAAAGAGGCATGCATCCCATATCTAAGTGATGTTATTGAGAGTAAAATATCATTTATTGATTTTTGGTAGCTAAATCCAAGAAGAAGAGGAGAAAGGTTTTGGAAAACAAGAATTGCTGTTTATTAAAAATTTTAAACCTTTTATCTTGTGTTTCATTTTGTACACAACGTTCGTGTTCAGTGTTGGTAGGAGACGTAGAGAGAATTGAATTATTTTGACCTTCTGCAGTAACTTCATGCACCTATAACCCCCAAAACGTGCTTAAAATATAGTTGCATCCCAAATTATATCGTGTATCATACATTGCATATGTATATTTACGTAATTGTTTTGTATATAAATAAGTTCCAGCTTCCTGCTCAACCAAATTTCGAGATTTTTGCTTTAAGTAAAAGGATGTGTTATCGCTTGCTTTTAATAACAGATTTTAAGGTGAAATTACATTTTAATAATATTTGAAAACTAATAGAATAAACGTCACCGCCATTGAATTTCTGACATTTACCCATTTCGACATTTGGTGGTGTGAATCGCAATCGATTTATTGAAAATAGTTATCACTTCATTGCAAGCTAGCGTAATTGTGAGCTTATAATTAGCAAAGGGAGATAGTGAGTTGTTTTTCGTTGGAGTTTGGAAGTTTATAAATGCTAAGGATAGTGAGAATATCTAAACGCAATGACAAACAATCGTTCGAGACATGTGTCGCTTTGCAAAATGATTTCAGACATTATAACAATGTAATAAATTACAACTTTTAAATTAAGATACATGTGAGGATCTCCTGCAATAGCCGTCTACAAAATGTATTTATATATCTAGGCAAAAATACATTTCAATTGGAAAAAATATGTTACTTTTTGTAACAATGTTCCCAAGCCTTACTAAACCTTTGAACATGAAGAGATTTTACTTTTATGTACTCAGTTGTGAGTCACATGAAGTAATTATCCATGAACGTAGTGGTTTTCTGAAATGCCATTGCATTTACCCGTATCGGTTGGTGCTCGTGTGTCTGGGGTCCCCAGACTGTTCGAAGGACCAGTTCCCATCCAGGAACTCTCAGTGTATGGAGCCTCTTCATCCTGAAGAGCGATTGTATTGGTTCAGATTGTGAGAACTTCTCTCATTTCATTAGGAACAACTGCTGAACGACATTAAACTCTATTGGAAAGGGTTTCTATTTAAAGTACAATGCATATGTTCTTCTCTATTGTAAATTTTCTACTATTTTTTTCCGCGATATGGTCATAACGTTTCAGCTAATATATTTTATTGTCACTTTTTTTCAAAAGACCATCTAAGAATTACATTTCGAATAGATCTTATTCATAGTCAAAACTAACTTTCGGAAATAAGCTGCTTCTATTAGTATGTCAGTTACAGAAATTCTTTCACGAACAGCGAAAACAATTTTATTTATACAGCTTACAAACACATATATTGTTATACAAATATCCATAAAAATTAAATATGTATAATTACGGCTTAATAGGTGTAAATAGATACGAAAAGCAAATACATTGTTTTGGAAGCAAAAATACCTATAAAATATTCAATGTAAAATATGACATATTGTTAATGCTATTAGTTACAAATTACAAAAATATATCAAAGTAAAAATGTTGGTCATTATTGAGTGAATGTGCTTGAGAACTGATGTCAGATAATGCTACTGACGAAGCGCGTCAATTTTAGATTTTGCCTTTTGCTATTCTCTTCCGGTGCATCTTATCCTCTTGGTCTTTAATGCCCCTATTGAACTGCTCAGAGTCCCGTAGACCAGGTTTTCTCGGCAGTGCAGTCATGCGCTGGAACACGTCCATCCGCCCATCCTTCAGAGCTTTGTCCTCCGCGCTCAGGGCCACTGTCCTCATGTTGCGCAGCACGACCGTCGCAAGATCTTGCAGCACCTTTTCGAAGAAAATTTCAGATTATTTACGTGTTTATGAGTAAATACTGGGTCAACATCATTTATTGACAGCCGTGACCCCAGAGAACTATCCGTCGTAACGTGCCCCTCTCAACGTCCCTCTCTCATATACACACACGGTCTCCCTCTCACACACACCGTCTCTCTCCCTCACACACACACCGTCTCTCTCCCTCACACACACACCGTCTCTCTCCCTCACACACACCGTCTCTCTCCCTCACACACACACCACCACTCTCACACACATTATTTTAGTCTGTTGATGTAGATAACTTCTGAATAACTCTTAACAATATGAAAACTAATATAATGCAAAAAAACTATTTTTTTCACTGGTTCTTGCTCACGCAAGTATGACGCAGTTATAGTATATTACATAAATAAATATACTACCATTAAATGAACTGTGTCACACATTTATAATTCTCTCCAATACTGTTAGCATTTGTTCTGAATGATAAATGAATTTTGCATATGTATATTTCTGTCTTAGACATGATATATTTTTCTTTGGAAACACATCATGCCATCACCTACTTTTTAGATGGCAGAAAACATTATAACGGATAAATATCATCCAGTTAATTCGAGCGGCGAAGATGGACTAACGCGAAGGTAAATCAATTACGTTTATGAGCTACGAAAACAACGTTAAGGAAATTGCGTTTACGCGTTATTGTAAATACAAAATTTGGAGCATTTTTACACAGAAATCCATTGACTTTTCGAAATCTTCATTGGAAGCCATTCAAAACTCTTTAACTCCCAAATGCAGTAGTGTTTACAAATTGCTGGAATTATGGCATTTATGTCATTTTATAGAGTACTTTTAGCACAATTCCTACCAAAGTTTAAAGAAAATACTAGGAGCCATTTTCTAAACAATCTTTTTATCTTTTTAATATTGTACGCAATATTCCGTGAAAACTAATAAAATTCTCAAAAAAGGTATAAGACAGAATAGCACACAGACAGGCACACAGACAGGCAGACAGGCACACAGGCAGACAGACAGGCACACAGACAGACAGACAGACAGACAGGCACACAGGCAGACAGACAGACAGGCACACAGGCAGGCGAACAATTCAGATTATGACGCAGGCGGAAGCTCAGCGATTTTGATCTGCGCGCTCATGGGGTAGTACGCTCGGTCGGCAAAAGGAAGTTTCTTTGGCAACGCGCACGATGCTGGCCGTATTAATCGGGGACCATTCCCTAAACGTCGCGTGCTTGTGCGAAGACAATACTCAGCGCTTTCAACAAACTTGTAGAGACGGGAAATGTTATCACATCCACAAAGTGTGTACGATATTCACGCATCCAATTACAAACGCATCACATTACAAACTTCTCTTCCTCTCTCTAGCAACGTGAGACAATTGTTTTGAACGGTATTGTAATGAAATACATTAGAAATTTATTTGGTAAATAACTATTAACCTGAAACTACTTACTCGATTTTCTTTGAATTTATTCACAATTTAATACGATATACGTATTCATCATATTCATACATCTTATTAAAATTCTCGGTTGGTTTTCAAATTATCTTAGGCTATTGGTAACTCTTTAATCTCATATTTTAGTAGAATGCCTTAAGATAGGTCCGGCAATTGGTTTTAAGTCCAAGTGAGTGGTTAACTCGAGAGGAAGTCCCACCTCTTCCATCCAACTCCCACCCAAAATGTATATGAAGGGGAAAATGCAAAACATATTTTTTCAATTTGTCATATTTCAAATGGTTATAATACTTATTGAATGTAATTTCAGCAGCCAATTTTTGCAATGTGAAAACAGCGCTGCGTTTTGCATTTTTATATAAATTGATTTATTAATTTTTGCTAATCGATTTTGTTGGTCATGTCCCTACAATATGTAAAATCGATATACTGTTGAGGCCATTTTATAACAGTTGATCTCATATAGGTTTTGAGTCCTAACAATGCCGAGAACCTTTATCCATTCCTGCCATTTGATGTGTATGGAATATTTCTCTCGCACCACATTCCGACTGGATATTTCATTCACCAGGAATTTTTCGTACCATACCCACATTCTCCGCCGGTCCTGCCTTCCGGTATTTATTTCAGCAGAACAAGATTTCACATGAAACCGCGATGGGAGGCTTGAGGCATCAAATGATAACGCTGCAGTGCCTCTGACCAGGAGGTCCTAGATTCGAGTCCTGACGGTGGCAGGATTTTCTGCCCACGCCAGAGAGCGGAATCGACATCTGTCGCTATCTGGAGAAGACTTCCAGCGGCCGGCTGCTCTGATCGATAGTTTTCCGAGATTCCTACGGTCAATAACAGGTGAATGCCGGAGCAGAACCCTAACAATTGGTCCCCCGACATGACGCGGTCTTTCCTTCTCATTCTTTGTCCTCTTCACCCTTACACACACTTACATTTACATGCACTACACTACTACCCACGCCGGGAGACTATCGGCAGCTTAAGCAGGGAGACTTAAGGCAGACTCGTCAGCTTAAAGCTTGTCCCGGCTGGGATGAAGTATGGGAGAAACCTATTTGGGGAAAACTCCTCTATCTAACGGCAGATCGGCGCCGGATCTCGCCACGCAGCGGAGTGAGGTCACCGCCGCCTCCCGAGCCAAAAATGTACACTACACTTTCGGGACGAATGAGCTTAGCAGCTGACGATCCGGGAATTGCAAATCATCAATGAATCGTTTAACAGAACTAGCCACACGCCGAGGGCGCCGTTTACGCTAATAACCTTCCAGGGCGCCGACACGTCGTTGAGGACGAGCTCCACGCCGTCGCACTCGTGCAGCACGGCGCAGTTGAAGGGCACCTCCGTGAGCGAGGCGAGCGCGCGCATCGTGTGCATGTGCAGAATCGCGTTCTTCGACACGAGGAAGTTGCGCAGGACGGTGACGACGCCCAGCAGCCCGAACTCGGTGGCGTTCTTGCGGATCGTCGAGGCGTACGCAATCGCCTCCGCGATGTTGAGGCGCATCTACAATCAACAGATTCATCCCAGATAGTCGATATACATTGGTTGAATAAAAGGTAATGAGAGTTTTGCTGTAACTTGCAACAAACTGCAAAACTTGCAAAACTGCTGTAACAAACAATACAGCCACTCCCGCCAATTGCTATTGACGAAACCTGGGCTGGCTCGTACGAACTAAACTTGAAACGCCAACCCAATAAATTTAAGCATCCCGGTGCAAAGAAAGTGCTGTTAGAGCAATGCTCCATGTGGCGTATGTCATTGATGGGGGGGGGCGCTTCATTCTATACCACCAACTGCGACGGTCGACGACGACTGCAGGCGAAAGCGACACTTCATGGAACAGCATCCCTTCCTTATTTTGGACAACGATAGGTGCCAGACAGCAACTGCTGTCCAGGACCTCCTGCGCCACTGGCAACGGGGGATTCTGGTACATCCACATTATTCCCCAGATATCACTCCCTGTGATTATGACCTCATCATAAAAATGAAAGAACCACTGCGACAGACTCAGCAGAACACAAGAGAAGAATTATTCATGCTATAGGGCGGTCAATATGGGTCATCAACAGAAACAAGACGCACAGATGATGAAGAACGCCTCCCAAACATTTGGCAAAAGTCCACGAATAACGGAGGTGATAATATGAAAGGTATGGAAATGTAGGAACCTCTGTCAATAAAGTAATTTTAGAGAAAAAATCTCATTTATTTAAATCCAAACTAGCACAACAACTACCCCGCACAAATCGAACATCTCATCTCTATTCGACTATCTCGCGTGAAATGTTGATAATTGAGATTTATTAACATAAAAATCTTATTAAAATATAGCACCAGGAAAAATGAGCTCCTGCAATTGACGCAAGCCCTATGTTCCTTTATGATGAATAAAGTAACTAATTATCTAAAATAGCACATACTCTCACGTTCGTATTTTCACGCAAAATATGGCAAAAAAATACTCAAATTTTCGAAAGACTGAACATGACTTTATTTCAAATTCTATTATTAAGGGTAAAAATCTCAATCTTTAATATTTTAAGACGCCAAAAAACCTTTTTAACTCTTGCATTTGTTTTAAAAATTCGGGTTTTCAGCGAACATATGACCTGCATCATTCATAAGTCCCTTACACTATCCAAAAACCCAAATTAATAAAATACGATGGTGCCATTTTTTCAGAAATGGGGAAAATGTCCCAACGGCGTCATATAAAGTACCAGCGAAAATTAAAATATCAACTTCATATTAAATGGCGACATCAGCCAGATCGCTTGAGGAAGATCGTTTTTGGAAAAAATCGGCTGAACGATTTAGCCGTTAACGTTGTTGGCATATAGACAGGCGGACTGACTTTTGTTGCCATTCAATTTTTCGGTATCAAAGACCAACAAAACATGGATTCTGGTTACACCACCTGTTATAGAAATTTTTTCTAAATTTAGCAACGAGATTTATCCATTTTTGCGATGTAAGGGTCCTGTGATAATTTTCCTGCCGAAAATTCGCCGTTTTATTCGCGTCGCATTTCGTATATTTCTAGCTGCTCCGAAGCGAGAAAGCAAAAAAGTGGCGGAAGAAGTTCTTACGTCTTCTTCCTCGAGTTCCGCGCACTCGCTGAGCGCGCGCACCAGTCCGCAGTCCGATAGGATGTGCAGGTTCTCTTCGTCTTGCGAGATCTCCGCCACTAGCCCGCACGCCTGCACCTTCACGTCTTTGTCCTTGGACAGCAACAGCTTCGTCAGCAGACCCAGCCCGCCCACGATGCTGCGAACCTCCTCCGCCGAATCCGTCGTGTTTCTGGAAATGAAGATTTTTCACAGCGCGATCAGAAAGCAAAATTTGGCTATGTCGTCCTTGTCGTACGGAAATTGCAAGACTCTGGGAATCCCATTCTTTGGCCTTTTCGCTGTATAGCGCAAAACACGCGAACACGAGTTAATACTGGGAACTTACACTATATTTGAGTGCCAATTCTGGGAAGGCGGAGTTCGAAGAAAGTGTTACCGCCACTTCTCGACCAATTCGACACGCATGTCTCAAACCCTTATGTGTTTTCCAGGGAAGTAATATTTCGGTCTAGTTTTCGTATTACTAATTATCGGACAATATACGCGCGAGTATTCATGAGTAAAAAATATTTTTCTTATTTGCTGTGGATCAATGTTGCTGCTAATCTACATATTGCTAAATATATAGATATTACTACATATTGCTAAAATATTGAAAAATGTTTTATTAATTTTTTATGTATTTAACGTTAATAAAGTTTAAAAAAACTGTTTTGGCGTACTATAACCAGACAAATACGTGCCCGTTTCGTTTAGTTCATGAATCCCTACTCTAATACATACATACACAAGTTGAATTATACATACTAGTGGCATTGGGCGTTTGGCATGAATCAGTAAGCAAATAATCGTTACCCTATAGTAAAAACTATTTGTCACTGAAAAGCGATTTTTCTTCCTCTTCCTTGTTCTGTCCTCGGCCCTTACTTAAACAAACGTACTCTTACATGCACTACACTAATACACATGCCGGGCGACCAGACGGGAGCTTAGTGCTTGACCCGGCTGGGGCAATATCCTGCTGGTAGGAGATACCTGGTCGGAGAAACCCTCGTTAGCCGTCGTGATTGTCGGCGCCGGATATTGCCATTCAGAGAAGTCCACCACCCCATCTCGCGACAAAAACATGCACCACATTCGCACTAATGATGTACCCGGAAACACTAAATAATTAGTTGGAATGGAAAACTGCATTGAAACAATTTTCCTTTTTCTGCTCATTGGGTCACTCTGGGTACAATATTAAATCCAATTCTCTTTCTACTACACGTTGGAACCACTTCAAACTTAAGAACTGTGCTCGTAAATGTTAGAAGTTCACAACTGTGACTTGTTCATAATCAACAGCCAAAAACAATGAAATGTTTTTAATATACAGAATCGTTGATATTTTTTTTGGTCTTGGAAAACGAATTATGTATCAAGAAAATTTTCAAACTCACAAACATATATTCTTAGTGAACAAATTAGAATTACCCTTTGTACAATAACAAAATCAATCTAGCATAAAGTTTCTCTTCTCACTTGAAAAAGAAAAAAAAATATAAATTAACAAATTCAAATACAATGATACAATTTTTATCTCTTTGACAAACAATATAAAGGGAGCATCAAGCACAGTTTGTAAAGTTGAAGTTACATGCACTTTCTAAGTACTCATTACAACATTCACTTAATTGGGGGCTTGCTGCTCCCTGCATTTACGTATGCAGGGTCTCATGACACTATTTACACTGGAGACATTACATGCAACCACTGCATATACTCCTTAAAGGGGTGGCTTGGGGCACTTCGGAAATACTCTCAAGAGCCTCCTACGTCTTAACAAACTGTGCGAATATGATGCTTCTCGCAGTTATGGCAAGTTAGTGGCGAAAGATGAGAAAAAAATAGGAAAGACGATTATTACCGACCTCTTCTCGGGGCCTTGCCCCCAAGCAACGGTGCGAAGCTTGCGACGGTCAGCGGGCTGGTGACGCCTAATATACGTCTCCGCCTAGATCCGGGTTCTTACACAGAATTGTAGCGTAAGAAATATGCGCTAGTAAACACAGATGTCCGTTTCATGGTCCGTTTCTTATCTTCGTCACGGCACCACACACGCTCACCACCATTCCCCAATACTCGTAGCAGTTTTTTTTTTTTTACCTTCCTCTCTCGCGTCTTAAAGCCTTCTCTTCTCCGTTGCCCCCTACCGAGTAGGCCGGCACGGACACTACAATTCAATTATCTAAGAACATACATAAATACGAGTTTCCAACCTCATTCAGAGGGTACTACCGCGAGATTTGAATGTAGCGTTGGTATCTCAACCACAAATAGGTAAAGGTTACAACGTAAGAGATAAGAGATGGAAGAACATATCTCCCTGCTGATGTTACTAATATTCTTTGCAATAAAGAAACCGTAAATGATACAATATCAGATGTGTTATATCGGTTTCGTAATAAATTCTCGTTACAATGAATTTGCAATGAGCTGGAAAGTTGAGTAAGTAATGTCTCCAACATTTTAACATGGAATTTCTATTCACTAAAATCATTATTTAAGGTACGAACATAAACAATCTACCGCAATTCCACAAATTCCGTACAAAGGTAACTTTCAAAGTAAAATTATAAAATAAATAACAACAAATGCTTTTAATAAATGGAAAATGTTGCAATACGTGCTTAATTTTGATTTATTGATGAAGCAACATTTTTAAGAAAAGTAAATATGGTTGTTTCCATTGATTTTTGTTTTCTTTATCAAATTTGGCAGTCTAAAACTGCTTCGTATTTACTGAGAACGGTTTCCATTCGTATGTACGTATATTGGGGGGAACTTAACATAAAGCTTCAACATTTTCAAAATCTTACCAAAAATGGATCCCCCATTTTTGGATATAACTTAGTCCTCGGATACCGTAAAGAATTCCGCGGGACTCGTCGATATACCATTTTTTACGAAACTTGAATAAGTTCAACATTTTTTATAATGTATACCTACAACTAAAATACTGAAGATGAGAATTTTTTTCTCAATTGAATTTGTTGTTCAAAGAAAATATTGAAATAATTTGATGTAAATGTAAATGTATGTAAATGATTTGATTTTTTTTTGAAAATATGAGTATATTTCGCGTAATTTTGCTTGATATATAGAGAATATTTAAACAATATTTTTCTCAAAAGCGGCTTTCTTCTTTCAATTTTCTTCTTGTACGTATCAATGGACGATAAAAAATTGTGCTGGGCCATTTTCGACAAACTTTCTGCATTTTCGATGATGACGAAAAAAATAACATAGCAAAAGTGCAACACTGAAGATGGAGATTTTTCTCTGAAATAAAATATGCTTAAAAACGAATAGTTTTTGGCTCGTAGTTTATGTAATTTATAAAAAATCTGAAAAATGTACCTCAAAAGTATTTTCCAAGGTTAGGGCAAAGGACGCTTAAAATCGGCAAAGGTCTTGTTGTTGTTGAACTGAATTTTTAAAAACTGCTAAAGTTACAAATAATACGAGAAAGTATGAACAGTTATTGCATTACTAGATTATTATATACCACATTTTTTGTTTTATTATTTGTGATCAAAATACTCTCATGTCTTCTGATTTCAGCCTTATTAGTTTTCTTAACAGTGATTTGTATTTTTGAAAGTGAAAGTGACTATTTTGAGCTATGTTATAAAATAAAGAAATTAAAAAATACATTTACTTAGTTTTACATAATGCTCTTCTAATATCCAGTTACCCAAGTATTAATTTTCCATTAAATGTTATATTTTCTTTTTTGAAGAGGAAAAAGTGCTATAAAGTGAAATGAATGCTTCAAAGGAAAGCATAAAGCAAAGGTCGTTTGTAGCCACAATATTGTAAACGGGTTGCATAATTCCCGCCGCAAGATGTGAATACATAATTTCATTTTACTTTTACACATACGTGTATTACTTAATGTACAGGCGATTGCATTACTTGTGGTTACAAGAATGTGTACATAGTATTCCTAAGCATCGTTGCAATTTCATTGAGTGTTTTCTTTGAAACCTCCAAGAACGAGCAAACAATGAAATTGCACCCCCATCTACTCATGCAGGCAATTATTGACCGTCACAAAGTTGTGTCTGTCGTCGATGAGTTTGCTAGAGTCAGAACGTCTGTTGTCATTCGCAAGTGAGTGTTGTCTCCACCAGCCTCATTTCAATTTCACTGGGCATTGCACCCTGAAATGTGGTAAGCAGAATTCTAAGTACAAATACTGTTTTGTTTGCCTTAAATATCTGCTATATTGACTTTAAAATACTTAATTTACAATGCTTGATGAAGTAATATTGAAAAAAATTAATTTTTCTTTTCACGACCTGTTTAGGTGCGTGAGGTATATTGTACGCACGTCTTTTGCACTACTTATAGTCGTGTAACCAACCTAAATTTTTACTTAGCAATGTTATTTTTACTTATTAAAAATGTATTTATGGCTTTAAAAATTATTTTATTATTTGTAAGTGTGATGTATATTTTAGAGTCATACTCTGGAAAATATTTTACAAAAGTTGGGAGCAATTCAGGTGAGAAATAACGAAAGACTAGGGGTACTAGACTTCTTTTTGCTTCTCCTAAAGCAGCCGAAATGACTGATGAAAACAGTGTGGATGAAGATCAAGGTATTACAAAGTTTCTTAGGAGAAAATTCAAACTGTTAGAAATAAAATATTTGGTGCAATATGTGGAGTCAACTTGAGTCAATATGTGGAGTCAAGCTCCGCTTGACTTTGGGCGCATGTTTCCACACACGTGCACGAGTATACATCGCTTGTGAATACTAAGTAGATGCCTCCATTGACATGGCTGTATTTTGCTGTCATATCTTGGGCAATTTGAGAACTATTTTGCGTAACGCGAGCCGGTAATGTTACTTATTTTTGTAGTAGTTCGTCATTGTACTGTACTGTGAGGCGTGAGTTGTGGATTCAGTTTAGAACGTTCAGTATGCCACAAAATTAAATTTTTTCGTTAATTCATTCCGAAATTAAGTTCGAAAAATTTCATATTGATTATTAGCGTATCCGAGCGCGTAAACTACTAAGGTAAATAGTCCTGTACGTACAGTGCATGTTTTACTCAGGCGGTGGCAGTGTTCTCACCCCGCTGTATGGCGAGATTCGGCGCCGATCTACCGTAAGCTAGCGGAGTTTTCCCCAACCAGGTATCTCACACCAATAGGGCACTGCCCCAGCCGGGACAAGCTCTAAGCTCCAGACTGTTCTCCCGGCATCTTAGTATGTGTGTGTAAGGAGTGAGTGTAGCACAAGGAAGAGGTAGAAAAGATCGCGCGCGGTTCGAGGCTCATTTGTTAGGGTACTGTTCCAACATTCGTCTTGTGTTGTCGCAGAAACCACGGAAAACTACCGATCAGAGAAGACGGCCGCAAGAATTCACCTAAGTAGCGACAAAAAAATTGAATGAAATATGCAAAAATTATGATTCTGAAAAATATATTTTGTTGCTACCCAGACTTTTTGAGCTGTATATTTTTAATATATTTAAGTATGTCGCTAAAATTCAAAAGCGGGCATATTTAATTATTTTTCACTAATTTCCAATTCACAAAAAGCCAAACTTTCTAAAACAAGTAATGGTTTATGCATTTCTGTCACAAAAAAATTCCTTACGTCACTTAAAATGCCTCATTTCGAATGCGCAAATTCCCTAGGTTCTGGGACCCAATTGGTCACTAGGAGCCTTGGTGTCAAAGAGTTGACTCAGAGCCTCCAACACACGCTGTCCTTTGGTACATGCATTATTCAGATTTAGTTCTCTGCTCGGAGATGTTGGCATTTATAATAATTATTATTTTCATATGGGATAATTTCTAAAAGGGTGGCAATTGCGCATACGTATTTTCGTCTCAGCCTGCCATCGAGGGTTTTTGTAGAGCGGCTCTGGAATATATTTCTAGTTGCGTGCTTCGTGGGTGTTCCTTAATTTGCCTTGCTTTCACTTTCACCGTCCGAAGATCTCAGTTTACTAAACCTGAACCGTCTGGCCGTGAGAACTTATTAGAGTGAGAAATTGATAAAGATATTTATTTTATCCGGCATGTGCCAAGGTTGTTGAACACACTACAATCGTCACATACTAAGCCAGAAAATGTCTCGAAATCGGATCGAATATAGTGAAGCGATAACGCCAGCAGAACATTGCTGTTAATATTACATCGACCAAAATTCATGTATGTTATTAAACATGATGTTTTACAACTGATTTAGTAGCATCTAACATTAAACCCACGCGGAACAAAATTTGTTTTGGCTGAGGCAGTGTATATTAAAATATAATTAAAAAATTTAACTGAAAACCAAATATAACAAACGCCACTCCCTGAGCGAAAGACAAAATCCACTGGACACAAAGGTATCAGGATCATCTCGGGTACACGATAGTCTGCTCGACGAAGACACTGCAAATCACGTTTGTGTAGTTAGAACACAAACAGTGACACCGTCAGTTACTTTATATCTTAATTATAAGAAAATTGTAATTGTGATTTGGGGAACTTTTCATCCACAAATAAAGCATTGAAATCGTAAAAACATCATGCACAACAGAGCGATATTAAAAGCCTTCAACTTCAATACATTGATGTTTTTATAGAAACATCAATGTTTTGAAACATCAATGTTTTGAAACATCAATGTTTTGAAACATCCATGTTTTGAAACATCCATGTTTTGAAACATCGGCACAGATGCATGAGAGTCATCACCTGATGAGCGGGCGCAGCGCCCACAAGGCGGTGGCGGGCACGCTGGGGTTCGAGTCCTGCAGCACCGAGAACAGCATCCGGAAGCCGTCCAGCTCCATGATCCTCTGCGCCACCTCGGGGCTGCGTGCGCACGTGCCCAGGCACATGGCGGCGGCCGACAGCACGCGAGGGTCGTTGCCCATGAGACGCATGATGGCCGTGGGCAGCACGTCCGCCCGAGCGATGGTCGAGCGGTTCTCCTCGAGCCGGCCGCACTCCGCTAGCCCCTCCATCACGTTGCTCAGGATTTCGTCGTCGCCCGAGTGGAACTTGATGAACTTGATGAGGTTGAAGGTGAGGCCGCGCTCGCTCATGATCTTGAGGTTGCGGTTGTCCTGGGCCAGCTTGGCCACGGCCAACGTCAGCCCGGCGAGCGTGTCGTGCTCTTGACGAACGTCCTTGGTCAGGTCCACCACGGCGTTGAGGCCGCCCAGCATGCGCACGATATGGCAGGTGAGTTCGCTATCGCTGGCGCATTTGGCGATTGTTTTGGCACAGGCCGCTCGCAGCCTCTGAACGTTCTCCTGCAGACCCTGTAGCAGCGTCAGAAGGATGCCCTGCGTCTCGATGGCGATGCGAAACTTACCATCCTCGGCGCAATGAGCCAAAAGTTCAAACATCTCGGTGAGGAGGTCTCTGTGACAGCAATCCGTTATCTTCTTTGTGCAAAGAAGGAACCCGCTTTTGTGCAGCACGTTAACACTTTTCGGATACTTGGCGATTTCCTTCAACGTTTCTGTTCCGGCAATTGCTAACTTCAGTTGTTTCTTTTGTGTTTCTGAAAGCAACTCCGTACTCGTGTTTAACGTAATGTCGTCCAAATTAATCAAATCCAAAATGAGTGGAATGCCGCCTTCTTTACGAAGAAAACGAGCGGGTTTTTGAATTTTGCAAAGTTCCGAAAGTGTTTTCGAAGCCAGAATAAGTACGTCAATATTAGGACAAGAGAGTAAATTAACAAGAAGTTTCACAATTCCAAGGTTTGTTTCATACCATCTCATTCTGTTGTTATTTGCAAGTTTTTTTAAAATTCGTAATGAAGCCACTATGCAACGTGGATCGCGAACTTCCAGTAAGTTCGTCATTATTTCAACTCCACGATATTTAATGAGAATATCTTGAATGAATTTGGAATCCAATTCTAAATCGTAGAGAATGTTTAGTTGAGTAACAGTGCCAATAGGATCTCCACATAGTAACATCTGTATTGATCGCATCATCTGATAATGTAGCACCTGTTTTTCTACACTTTCCAAACGAACTACTGGTTCTTGGATTGTGCCATCTTCGTCATCGTCCTCCTCCCGCAGAATAGTCAAGGATGTATCACTTAGTTGTGGTTCATACACGTGCCTACTTGGTAGTTGGAATTGTGTTAGCATATTCCTTTCTGAGCCACGTGATATTCTGGACATGTTTTAGCCTTTAATCTATATGTAATAAGTTAGTTTGGAGCTATTAATCTGGCTACCTGCACTACCTGACTTCTTTCCGTAGAGTCAAAATTGTAATCTACTTGTTAAAAATATATTCACTCACTTTCTGACCTCTCCACTGCTTATATGAATTGTCAGTTGTTTAAGCATTGCCTCCTGAACTTCAATTTTACATAGATCATGGCCACCTAGTTTTAGTGAGTACTATAGTAGTAAATGATGCCAAAAACACAAGTGTGATATCAAATATCAATATTATTTTAGTGATTGTAAGTAGGATATAAAAACATTTTTTAAAGTGTGCATCAATTATTTAACTGTTTATCTTCACCTTCGTTAAACTAGTGGTACTACAACAGCACGTTCTTTCCTTCGATATTGTGAATGGTTATATAATTTTAATATGAAAATTACTGTTTTACACTTCCGCTACTATTTGAACATTTTTTAAAAGAAACGTGAACAAAGTACATTTTTTTAAATTTCAAACGTTTAAGCGAAAATAGTTTTCTACCATTGAATTCACATTCTACATAAATGAACCAACGACGCGCGTTGCGTATTTTAGCCATAAATAAAATTATTAGTTTATATTAACGTGAAACAACGACGGTTTTCATTAAAGCTTTCTATTAAAAGTGCAATAAAACAATTCACTTGTTAAATCATATTAAACGTAATATTTCTTCTTATGTAAATATATTCCCAATATCCCCTGTAAAGTACCCCCAAAATTGAAATATCGGGTTCAAATTCAAGGGGCCGCGACATAAACTAAATCAATTATAAAATATCAGTTTTGAGGACGTCGGCAGAACAGTTTATCCGGTAGCGTTGTACGAAGATGGATGGATGGATGGATGGATGAATAGAGGTTTTGCGGTCAATCGATTTTTGGGGATTCGAAGTCGACTTTGGTAAGGACCCACAAAAGAATTCTGGCAACATCACACGTTAGAAGATTTTTTTCTAAATTTAACAAACGGTTTTTTTTAACACGACACGGCAATAATAGTTTTTCTACAGAAAATTTGCTACTCTTTCCTCAAGCTCTACATAACTCTCTCTCTCTCTCTCTCTCTCTCTCTCTCTCTCTCTCTCTCTCTCTCTCTTGTGTAAGTGGTAACGAGAAAGTAAAAATATATGATAAATATTTATGAATTTATATATTGCATGTTTAACATAATTATTATACGTAAATATACATTATTTTACTACAAAAAAATTATTTTATAATAAAATCCGTCCGAAAAATGAAAATGTACCGAAATGTTTTCTTTGCCTTGAAATGCCGAAATTTTCTCTAGTCTCTAGAAAGAGAAAAAGAGAGAGAGAGGAAGTCAAAGAGAGGGAGAGAAAGAGAGAAGAAGGGAGGCAAAGAGACGGAAATAGTGGAGCCACCAACGTAATGGTTACGGTGGCTACTGCGAGTTGTGGGATGTGTTTGTTCGAATCCCACCTGAGCGTGAATGTCTGCTTGAGTGTTGTGACATTGTGCGGCCTGACCTAAACCACCATGTATGACCTTCAGTATCCAGCTCCTTCCCAGACCTCTTCCAATGTGAATTTTGTCGGAGGAATGTGACCGCCTGCGCGTCAGGGAGAGAAAGTTCCGTAATGGGCTTTAAGGCCTTAGCGCTACATGGACGCCACCAAGCCTCCCTGAATGATCTTAATGAACTCAATACTTAACGAGTTTGAAACGGTTTTTCGGATTACATTAAGCATCGGCATTTTCAATCGAGCGCCACCTGGACGCAACCAAACCTCCCTCCCCAGAAAAGGCTTCATACGTCGCCACGGGCTTAAGACGCTACGAACGCAGAAGTCCACGGCTGCAATGAGCTTACGAGTCACTACAGAGTTACAAAGAGGGCGTTAATGTTATACGTGACGACAGCTCTTCAACGAACCTAAGGGCTACAAAGAGAGGCCACTGGCTACCACCAAACCTCCTGCCCTTCGAGCGCTGCCACGGGCTTGTGAGCCACAAACACAGATGTGCTCGGCCGCAGTGAGCTTACGAGTCACTCCGGATTTAGGAGAGGAGGCTAAAGTGTTGTGTATGATTGCGACTGCCTGCGCGCCAGGGAGAGAAAGCCATGTATTGGGCTTTGAAGCCTTATGCCAACGCCACCTGGACGCCACCGAGCCTCCCTGAATGATCTTAACGAACTCAAAACTTGACGTGTTTGAAACGGTTTTTCGCATTACATTAAGCATCGACATTTTTAAAATTTTCTCAAAAATTATTCCTAGATTAAACGTTTTCCTCGGATAGCGTGAAGAACTCTCAGAGGAATAGCGCAGGTCTCATTTTTCTTGAAATCCTTTATTTTTTTGAAAATTAAAAAAGTTTCAAAATTGTTCGGCTTCTTTTTACAACTACAATAATAAAGAAACATTTTTTTCCTAAACTACAAATTAATTTGTTCACCAGAAGCAGATCTTTAAATAAGGTTATGTGTAATTTTTCAAAAATATGACATGATTTTCACGTAGTTTGTAGTAAAATATAGGCTATTTTTAAAAATAAAAACTTCTAAATGTTTCTATTTTTCTTATTTTTTTCATTGTACGTAAGAAATAATGGCAAAGAAAATAGTTTCGGTTGCAGTTTCATTGATCTCTGAATTTCCGAAAAGCGTAACAGTTTAAAATTTCTGCAGCATTTATATCAACTATATCAACATCATATCACATCTTCAATATCAACGATATTGAAGATTACGAATATATCGTTTTTTTTAATGAAATATCTTCATCACAAAGAGATTTTGACATCAAGATATGTTCAAGTTTTCAGAAATATGAGTAATTTGTGAGTAATTTTGCGAAAAACTGTACACTTTTTAATTATATTTTATTTTGTTCACATAAACGGCTCCAATTATTTTCCTTATTTTTCTCTGAAGGAACGGCAAAGAAAGCATTTTCGCTGAACAATCATAATTTTAGAAATTCCAAAATTCAACAAAAACACATGTAAAATATTTGTAATGGGTACTTTTTGTTTAATTCACTTAAATCAGGAAGTATTACAAACGTGTTGTGCAATGAAAATAAGTCTGCCGTAACGAGCAAAATTTGTCCAGATTTTTAAGGAGATTAATATATATTACGAATATCATACATATTAAAAAACATAATGCAAACATGACAACTGTAATTTTTTAAGATTTGCTAGGAATTTTCAAACCTCAATTCAGGAAAGTTTTTTTGTTTGTATTTTTTACTGGCTTAAAACCAATTTTATTGGCATTAACACTGATTCCATGAGTACCTTCATGAAAATTATTTCAAGAAATACGCAATTTATCACTAATGGCATAGTATGTACATGACGACTTTGGGTACCTGTGCTAATCAATTACACCTACATACCAAGGGTATAAGGAAAACGGAGAAATAGGAAGTTCAGAGGGCCGTGTATCAAGAATTGAAGTGATATTTCATTCTGAGGCAGAGTTCGTACGTGAGTGATAATTTTCACAAACGGATCAGAATTCTGAAAGCGAAGAGTTGAAAAAGTTCCGAACATTTGAATACCCGGTGAGATTAATAAACTCCATCTAAAATGTATAGTTCAGGAATGCAGTCTATGCTTTTAGAAGTAAAACAGAACACCAAGCATGTTCGCGAACCAACACCGAGTGCCACGTCGCTTAAATTTCTGCAGGAGGAAGAAGATGAGGACGAAACGCAAGACTCTGAACTGCAAATGAACACCGTGGAGAAACAGGTGATGAATTACCAAGTGGCACGCTCGATACAGATGTTACTATGCGGAGATCCTGTTGGCACAGTTACGCAGTTAAATCTTCTATATGATTTAGAATTGGACACGAAATTCATTCAATTTATTCTTGTTAAACATCGTGGGGTTGAAATAATGACTAATTTGCTGGAAGTACGTGAACCTCGTTGCAATTTAGCAGCTCTACGAGTGTTAAGAAAATTGGCTTGTAATAACAAAATGCGAATGTTTGAAACAAATCTGGGAATTGTGACACTTTTAATAAACCTACTCTCTAGTTCGGACCTCAATATTCTCATTTTGGCTTCAAAAACCCTTTCCGAACTCTGTAAAATCCAAAAACCGGCTCGTTTCCTTCGCAAAGAAGGGGGAATACCTCTGCTTTTAGAGTTAATGAATGCAGATGAGAATCTCTTAAACACAAGTACTGAATTGCTTTCAGAAGACCAACACCAACATATAGAGTTAGCGACTGCAGCAACAGAAACGTTAAAGGAAATCGCTAAATACCCAAAAAGTGTAGACGTGTTGTATAAAAGTGGGTTAGTTACATTTATGAAAAAAATTACTGATTGCTGTCACAGAGATCTCCTCACGGAAATGTGTGAGCTATTGGCTCATTGTGCCGAAGACGATAAGTTTCGCCTCGCTATCGAGACGCAGGGCATCCTTCTGACGCTGCTACAGGGTCTGAAAGAGAACGTTCAGAGGCTGCGAGCGGCCTGCGCCAAAACAGTGGCCAAATGCGCCAGCGATAGCGAACTCACCTGCCATATCGTGCGCATGCTGGGCGGCCTCAACGACGTGGTGGACCTGACCAAGGACATCAAGCAAGAGCACGACACGCTGGCCGCGCTCACGTTGGCCGTGGCCAAGCTGGCCCAGGACAACCGCAACCTCAAGATCATGAGCGAGCGCGCCCCACCTTTCAAACTCATCAAGTTCATCAAGTTCCCAACTCGGGCGACGACGAGATTCTAGAGCAACGTGATGGGAGGGCTGCGGGAGTGCGCGCCAGCTCGAGGAAGAACCGCTCGGACCCATCGCTCGTGGTTACGTGCTGCCTACGGGCCTGTCATGCGCCTCATGGGCCAACGACCCTCGCGTGCTTGTCGCCGCCGCCATGTGCCTTGGGCAACGCTGCCGCACGAGCCCGCAGGCTGGCGCAGAGGATCATTGGAGGCTGGACGGCTTCCGGATGCTGTTCTCCGGTTTGCTGCAG